CTGATACTTCTCTGGCTCATCCTCCATCAATAGCTGCAAGATTGTGTGGTCAGAACAATGTTCCTCTTCAAGAGATAATTCTTAAGATTATGCGAGACAATGTGTTTATACGATTTACCTTCATGTAATCGACAACATGGCCACCGTAAATGTATTTCCTGTGAACCTCAGCGTCGAGGTTCTTGCCTTCCTTGTTGAACCCAGCAAACCGCTTGTCACTGTGTGGAATGTCAAGTCCACCATCCAAAGCACCCTAACAAAAACATACAGCAGACAATCCATTATTAGAGTGACTAAAACCATTATCCGACTAAGGGACCTTTAACCAAATACACCAGCGTTAAATAAAAGACAAGTACCTTAAGCGCACCAAACACCCGGTTTCCAGTTGTTGTCATCACAAGTCCAACATCGAGGAGAGCACGGAAGGGTCTCCTGGTGTCAGTCGGCTCAACAGAGTAGTCTTCTCCTGAAGCCTGTATGAAGAAAATTTAAGTGCATTAGTGATCCCAACAGGATTGACTCAGACATAATACAGCAGTGCAATATTTTATAACACCTGAGAAAGGAGTCATACCTCGACATTGCCCTCATACTCAGCATCCATCTGGAGCATCTTAAGAACACGGCGGGCCAAAAGGAGTCCAGTGCAATAAGCTGGAATAAGAAATACCGAGATTAATAATCATTCCAGGGCGATAAAACGAAGAGCAAAATACCTCTAGAAGTTGGAAAGGTGTTTAAGCATATACCTGCAGCATAGTTTGTAAGTCCCACTTGAAGGCCATATATAGGGAGCTCATGAGCATAAGCAGATGCAAGAACAATGTCACCAGCAATTGTAGCAGAGACAACTTGAGCAATAATGTCCTTGTTTGTCTAATAATGAACATAAAAAGACAATGAGATCAAACTGGATCCAACTCGAAAAAGAAACATAAAAAAAATACAATGATGAACATAAAAAGACAATGATGTTTGTATTAGATACTTACAAATCTCACAACGTAGCGATACTTAGGAGTGTTATACTTATTCTTATCCTGATTAATAAGACGAATCCTAGCACGATAATCAGTCTTTCCCTCTAAAAAAAATAAAATCACAATGTATGAAAATTGTAATCTTTGTTATGCGCAAAGGGGCATTAACAGAAACGAAGAAGAGGACGAAGATGAATTTCAACATACCACGCCTTCTCCTGAATTTCACTTGATACCTCTTGAAGTAAGCCTGTTTCTTCTGGGGTTTCACAGACACCTTCAAAAATACGAAACATTTCAACAAAAATGAAAGCCAATTCAACGCAAACAAGAGAGTACTCGTTCACTGTTGAAAGCTTGTAAAATGTCCAGCATGAAATCGTTAACAAAAAAAGGCCCTTATAGATTGAGCTACCTAAAACAGTTCGATTGTAGATCTACGATTCCAAATCGACTAATGCTGAAACTAGTAACCAATCGAATAAAGCACGAAAGGAGAAGGAGATAGCAGAGAGCGAGAGAGAAGGAAACATCACCATGGCTTGAGAGATCAGTGAGGTCGCCGAACTACGAGTCAAAGTCTTGTCGAGAAGAGAAGAAATACGAATCTAAAAATAAATACTAAAACCCTACTCGTGATGTAAATCAACGGCCACGATACGTTTTAGGGTAAGAGGCTTTGGTTTACTAAAATTACGGTACGGTTATTAACAAGACTTCTGGTTTATCTGTTTGGCATTTCGATGGAATTATCTTTTTTGCTTGATCGATTTCTTCAATAAAATTTGGAGTTTTAGTGTGGGTTTCTCTCCTTGGTTTGCATAATATTTTCCATGAAGTCTCTGTTTCTGATCAATCTAATCAAATTCAGATATTTTGAGTCTCAAAGTTTCACTC